GCTGTCAGTGCTGTCCTCATTTGTTGCTGTTCATTATTGGCTTAAACAAGATGCACAAAAACAGCTGGAAGCACCTTGTTGATACACACAAGCTCTTTTCAGATCTATCCTCCATTCTTTCCACAACGGCCAAGTAGGTCCAGCCAGTTCTCAGCTGACTGGGGTGAATGGTGTCCCCCCAAAAATGAGCATTCCTTATGCTATGGGGAGACAGCAGTGGGGTGGGTTTGCAGTCTCCTGTCTCAGACCTTGCTCCAGTAGGAGAACAGTGGCTGGTTGGCACAAGGCTGCATGTCCTTCCTGTTTGGCTAAAGAACAGCTCTGGAGGGACAGATCACAGCTGAAAAGGACCTGGGGGAACAGCAGTGTGTGGTGTCAGACAAACTAAAGTGCATGCAGAATCATGAACTTCGAGGTGTCTCGTATACTTAGGTTGGTAACCCATTTTCTTTCTCAGTCCCTTTGCTTCAGCATCAATGCTTTGGATGAACCACAACATATTATCTCTTTTTTTTTTTTTCCACTCAGTTCCACCTTTAGTTTGATACTCTAGACAACGTCCCTTTATTCTACAATATGACATAGGAAGAAGTTCCTGATAAGCCTGCACGAGACATTACTTTATGCACTTTTATTCTGTCTCTCTTGTTTTTCTCTGAAGATAAGAGTCCTAATCTTTTCCATCTTTTGCGAATTGCCATGCTCTTGATCCTATGTCTGTTGCTCTTTGAATCTTTCAGAGTTCCCAGTTTCCTTGAGATGGCTGGTTCACAGACCTATGTCAAGACGCTCCATCATTTCGTTCTTTGTCTCCAGTAAAGGGAGGGTAACTCTGATGTTTTTGATTATGAGACTGCAAAATCTTAAATGACACTTTTAAAACAAAAAAATTAAGTCCCCCTTGATTGCTGTGTTGAGCAATTAACAGAGCAAACAAACCAATAACTTTTAAGGACTATTTCCTTCTCCAGTTCAAGAATCTCTCCCTGTCTTTGGTGCATCTGTGCCCTCCTCCTTTTCCTCCTCTTCATTACCAAATGAAATCTTTCTACTGGCTTTCATAGACTCACATTTCCATGCTCTCTTGGCCTTCCCTATTGATTCAAGTAATGCACCAAAACCTCCAATTTAACACAATAACTTTATCCTTGTCTCTGGGAATGTATTTCACGGACTTCATTGCCTTCAGCAATACTCATGTAATCTCCAAATGGCTTTTTTGGTTTGTTTTCCAGTTTTAACTCCAAGTGCCTTGTTAATAAATATCTACTCTGTTATCACTGCAGTGCAGTGCTTTACTATTGAAATAGAAGTGATATTGCACAGGTATCCTACCTGCTCTTTCAATCTGTGAGTTTTGCTTTTAGTTGGGTAAGTATGAGACTCGTGAGAGGCTGTATATCTGAATTTCAAATGCAGTGATTACTTTGCATGAACTCTCAGTATATGTTCGCTGGTGTGATGCAGGCTACAACACTTCAAAGTAAACCAAGAGTATTGACACAAAGTAGGTATAAGGTAGCTGGCCTATCATTTCTTATTCTATGCTGGGTAACCTTTCCATAATGGGCAAGGCTTTAACTAAAGGTTCAGCTAATGCTTTCTTTTGAATTTGATCCACCATAATACTTCAAACTAAAGATGTCAGCTGAAGTGGGACACTGAGGAAAGATTAAGATGAATTAAGTAAGGGTGTGACATTAAATTGCATTAGTTAAAGCCCACCAAATCCCTGTATGGATGCTCTCCCTTGAAGACCTAAAATATCCAGTTTCCTTTATTTTATCCTGAAAGGATTAATCTTAAAATGTTTATGCTGGGAGCTTAAGACCTTCTTGCTCTCCCATCTTCAGTTAATTCAACTTAAATGCCTTAGCTAGACAGCAAATCTAAGGTAAGAGCAGATGGATTCCTGCTCCACTTCTAGTTTGTGTTTTAAGGCAGAGAAATTGATTCTCTAACTTCTGCCTCATTGTGTCATTTGAACAATTCATGTTAGGAAGAGTATTGTGTTATCATTTATGCTTTTTCTGTCTATTAGGCATCTCAGCATGGGACGTTAAACATCTTCTTTCCTTTTAACCTGGAGATTTATAATGTTAATTTTACAGGAATGCCATATGGGACCAAGTCAAATGTACTACAGATATCTGAATGTCTTACGTCTACACAAAACCATCCTGACTGACACTGACTTGCTGTCTTTCTGTTTCCAAACAGATATATCTCATATCAAACCATTACTTTTCATTTTCTTTGGAATTTTTGTAACGTCTTCAAGTTGGTAAAATAAACGAGCAAGTCAAGTCAGACATGTTTGTGCCATTAAAAACCAATCTGATGTGAAGACTTCAAGGCTTCAGGAACAGAGTTCTTATTTAATGAAATTTAGGGGCAGAAAAGATTTTGAAGATGAAAAGAGCTAGGTGACTTCCCTTTGGATCAATATTTTCTGTAGTAAATTCTTTTTGTTTGCAGGCATTGGATGCACAGGTACTCTCAGACATATATAATTATGATTCTCTGTATTAGTTAATGTTTGGACAAGCGTACCATACCACTGTGTGATTGGTTACTATTGATTCCTGATCTGCCAGCAATATAGGGCAGTGCAGACTCCTCCAATCGAGTCAGGCTTCCATGGGATCATGGATTGAAAGCCTGCTGTAAGACAGAAGAAAAAAAAAAAAAAAGAAAGGGAGATAAGAAGATTAAAACACAAATTCAATGAGGGATGTTGAAATAAAAAGGAACAATTTACAGATAACATGAGTTGATATTCACACAATGGACTCATTTAATTTTCAGCATTGAGTATTTGTGCTGGTTAAATCCCTGGTGAGATATCTGAATTGAAAAACTGGATGGCAGATTCTCAATCTTTTACTAGCAATTGGTTCCAGACGACAGCTCATGTTGAAACCTCCGGTGTTCGTCTAGGCCCTTCTGAAGCACTGTTCATTATAACACTTGTGCAAACTAACATTAACTAGGGCTACAGTAGATTGAGGGGGAGAGAAAATGAAGAAGGCATTTGGTTTTATTTCTGCTTTAGCATCTGATAGCTTCATGTAATTAAATGGGATATTTGCAGTTTTTCACCAGTTGCATTCGTTTGAAAGAGTGGGACTCTTTAAGCACTGAAAAAGGCTCCCCAGGGAGGTGGTTGAGTCCCCATCCCTGAATGCGTTTAAAAATCAAGTATGATGAGTCTTACTTCTTTGCTTTAAATACAACAGTCTTCTTCATATTATACTGCTAATTACTAAACAAAATTTTTGAAAAGCAGGTTCTAATTGATGCGTCTTCAGAGAAAGGCTTGTGCTCACCCTGCAGAAAGCTGTAATTGCTCCTTGCCTTTTAAAAAGAGGTTTTTGTGCTGAACTTCCTGACTCAGACTTAACGAAATTCTAAAGGTATTTTTTTGTTTTTTGACAGGTATAAATGAATGCAATCACCAAATTAATTGTCTTTGAAGGGAAAAAAAATCAAGCTTTGTATGTGTACAGCTTCCTCCACTTTCTAAAACTCTATTTTTGGAAACTTAAAAGCTTTATAAAGCCTGGAGGAATCCCAGGTGTATAGACAGATTGGAAGGAGCAATCCCCAAAAGTAGCTATGCAGAGAGGGACTTGGGGGTCCTGGTGGATGAAAAACTTAACATGAGCCAGCAGTTTGCTTTTGGAGCTTGGAAAGCAAATGGTATCCTGGGCTCCATCAGAAGGGGGGTGGCCTGCAGGGACAGGGAGGTGATTGTTCCTCTCTACTCTGCCCTTGTGAAGCCCCATCTGGAGTACTGTGTCCAGGTCTGGAGCCCCCAGTACAAATAAGACAGAGCTGTTGGAAGGGTCGAGAGGAGAGCTGCAAAGATGATCAGGGGACTGGAGCACCTCCCTTATGAAGACAGGCTGAAGGAGCTGGGCTTATTCAGCCTGGAGAAAAGAAAGTTCCCTTTAGGTACTGAAAAGCTGCAATTAGGTCACCCTGCAGCCTTTCAGTACCTAAAGGGAGCCCATAAACAGGAGGGGAGTCAACTCTTTACGAGGACAGATAATGGTAGGACAAGGGGAAATGGTTTTGAGTTGAGGAAGGGAAGATTTAGGCTGGATATCAGGGAGAAGTTCTTTACCAAGAATGGTGAGGTGCTGGAACAGGCTGCCCAGAGAGGTTGTGGGATGCCCTGGCCCTAGAGGTGTTCAAGGCCAGGTTGGATGGGGCACTGAGCAGCCTGGTCTGGTATTAGATATGGAGCTTGGTGGCCCTGTTTGCAGCAGAGGGCTGGAGCTTCATGGTCCTTGAGATCCTTTCCAACCCAAGCCATTCCACGATTCATTAGTAGAGGCTTAGACCAGGTGACATCCAAAGGTCCCTTCCACCCTTTACAATTCTGTGTGTGATTCTGTGATTATTCAGCAAGCAGGTTAATGACACTTCTTGTATTTATGTAAAACTAAACAACTGCATGAGCTGTAGCCACATTTTATTAACTCCTTCCTTTGTTCACGCAGAGTCCGTGCAATTATTTTGAAATACACTTATTGCATAAAGTCAGGGCAGATCTTCAAACTGGGTCTTCATGTCATCGACTCTTTCTTAATGCAGTTTATTACACCATAACTAAATGGCACCATCTATGACCTCCACAGGGCTGCAGAATCTTATTAAGGCACATTGTTAAAAGGAACTAGAAGCCCTACATGAAGTAATTTAGAATTGCTCACTCACCAGGCAGATGCATCCTCATCCTAACAGGACTCAACAAAGGATGTAAGCCCTGTGGTGGGGACAAGGCAATCCTGTAGGACAACCTGGGAACAACTAAGCCTGTGGCAAAACACTTTGGGCTGCTGCTGATTGAGTGAGTCACAAAGCTAAGCTTAGTGAAGCTGGTAAATTTCACCCAATAGAGCTTGTGTGGATTTTGGCTTTCATCCAGCAGAGCATTTAAGCACATGCTTAATTATAAGCAAGTGACATCAAGCAATTTAGTTAAGCACGTGTTTAAGCGTGGCGTTGGGCTAAAGACTTTATTTAGAGAAACACGGGAGTGTTTGTAAGCTCCAGAAGAGAAAGAAGCTGAAGGCCTCATGAGGAACCAGGACACAAAGTTGTGGAGATGTGGATGCTTCAGATGCAGAGCTGTTCCAAGCAACCTGAAGAAATCTGGTCTCCCGCAGTTCCCCACGTTGTTTGGAGTCAGGGAGAGCACTGTGATCACAGAGATGACAGCCTGCTGGTTTTGGACTTCTGTCTGGATACCAAGGCATCCCATGGCTGCTGTCCCATGCACACTGCTGGCTGGGTCCCAGTGGGCATGCAGGCTGGGGCAATCATAGGACTGCTAAAGTTGTAAAAGACCTCTGCGATCACAGACAAACCACCAGACCATCCCCATCACATCCCTCAGTGCCACATCTCCACAGTTCTTGAACACCTCCGGGGATGGTGACTCCACCACTTCCCTGGGCAGCCTGTGCCACTGCACCACCACTCTTTCTGAGAAGAAATGTTTCCTAACATCCAACCTGAACTTCCCTAGCATATCTTAATGCCTATTGCTGTTACTCAGGAGGAGAGGCCAACCTCCACCTTGCCACAGCCTCCTTTTAGGGAGCAGGACAGTGATAAGGTCTCCCTCGAGCCTCCTCTTCTCTAGGCTGAACAATCCCAGTTCCCTCAAATGTGTTCTCTGATCCTTCACAACTCCACTGCCCTTCTCTGGACACAATCCAGGGCCCCAACGTACTTCTTGTAGTGAGAGGCCCAACACTGAGCACAGCACTCGAGGCGCGGGCCCGCCAGTGCCAACTACAGCCATGGCAAAGCCTCGCACGGTTGGAGCTGAGGGCTGCGTGAGGAGCTGCCACACAGAGCCGCGCAGATGCAGACGCTTTGGGTGCAGAGCTGTTCCGAGGAACGGCTGCACGTCAGGGAAACGCGGCCTCTGCTCGTCCCCAGGTCGTTTGGGGTCGTGGCGGACACGGCGATCGCGGAGGGTCGGGACTTCCGGCAGCTGCCCCTTCGCGCACGTTGCCGGCTGCGTCCCAGCGGGGGAACAGCACCGTAGTTCCCTCCAGCATCGCCGTACCGTCTCCGCCGGCACCGACGACACCTCTTCTCCACGCACCTCGAGCTGGAAGGAACGGAGGATGGAAGAGAAGAGCAGGCGCGCGGTGCGCAGCCCGCCCTCGCTGCCCGTGCCCGGCTCGTGGACGCGCTCCCGCCCGCTGACCCGCGCGTAACCCTGCGGGCGCTCCGCTCGGCGCGGCTCCGCTCCTCGCCCCGCCGGTCCTCCGGGCGCCTTCCCATGGTGCACCGCGGCGCGGCGGCGCTCTGGCCGCGCCGTCGCTGTCACCGCCAGCAGGAGGCTGAGGGCCGCCGGAGCAGGAAGAAGCCGCCGCCGCCAACTTCCTCTCGGCCTCCCCTCCCCCCCGCCGCCGCCGCCGCCGCCGCCTCCCCTCCCCCGCGCCCCGCCATGCCCGGGGCCGCGGCACGGCCGCTCTGAGCCGCCCCGCGCCGCCGCCGCGTCCCGGCCCGCCTTCTCCTCGCAGCTCTGCGGCCGGTAAGTGCCGGCGAGGGGCGGCGGGAGCCGCGCGGCTCCGAGAGGGCCCGCCCGCCGTGCCGGGGGCGCACCGGGGAGGGGGAGGATCGGGGAGCGGCGCCTCGCGGCTCGTTCTCGGCGCGGCGCTCCCGCCTAGGCCGCGCTCGGCGCCGGAGAGGCCGTTCCGAGGAGGGAGGCGAAGGGAGCCGGGCCCGGGCCTGCGGGAGCGCGCGGCCGCGACGGGGCCGCCCGGGAGGGGTCGGAGCCGACGCGTCGCGCCGGGAGAGCCGTGCGGCCGCTGACGGGCGGACAAAGGGCCGCGGGCGGACGGACGGGCGGGCCGCGTTCCTCCGTTGTACCGGGGCCCATTGTTCGCGGGGCGAGCGGGGAAGCCGCCGAGTTGCGACGGGGCTCCCGGCGAGTGCCGGCCCCCGCGCAAGGCCTTCCCTGCCCCGTGCCTGCAGCCCTCCTGGGCGGCGAGCGCAGAGAAGCCTTTCCTCGGCGGCTCGTAAGAAGGGCAGGCGTTCGTGTTGAGGACGTAAATCGTCGCACCGATCGCCTGCTGGGTGCCGCTCAGAGGTGTTTTTGCGCAAAGATAGGATAAATATGCGGAGCCCGGCGGCGGCAGCTGTGGGTTTGCAATGGAAGCCTACCTGGAGCGTGACCTCCCCGTGCATGTGCACGTGTGACAACCCGGCTCGGGGAGCTGCTGATGGGAGAGAGCTTTCCTTTCTCTCCAGCGGCACCGTGACCTCTGGGACCGGCAGATCGCAGAGCGGCACGGTCTTCTCACAAATGGGATCTCGGTGGCTTTGTTGGCTGTAGTTGGCCGCAGATGACAGGCAGGCTGTGCGTGCTGGCTAGCAGCGTGTACCTGGGCCTGCCCTGCTTCAACATCTTGGACTGCCCAGATCAGATTTCACTCCTGTAAGTGATACAGCTTTCGCTCCGCGTGAGTTTGGGAGGAGATGAGGTGGAAAAAGAGTGCTAACCCACATCATCTTCTGCAGGCATTCTTAACGCTGTTCTCAAAACCAAACTAGGTACATTAATGGCCAAAACCAGACTTAAAGTCTGTCCTGCCAGGAGGAAACATGACATATCTCCAGGCAGTGCTAGTTCTCCAGTGGCCTCGGTGTGCTCCTGGTGACAGCTGTCAGCTGCAGAACAGGACGGTGGCGGTGCAGGGCAGCTCCCAGCTCTGCAGCCGGTGTCTCTGGGCACTGCTGGTTCTCAGTGTGTGGGGTTCAGTCAGGCCTGTCACAGAAGCAGCCTTGCTCTTGTTGCGGTGATTGAGGAAAGTTCTAAAAAATTAATTCTTCACTTGCACCATTTCCCTGAAAACAGTTTTTGTTGTCCTCATGGTGAATATTCAGCAGAATGTACATGTGTGTTCAGTTTCCAGAAATACTTTCTTTGTCATTGTTTCTGCGTGCCTGCAAGCTCCTCATCCCCAAACATATGTGTGCTTAGTGAGCTCACAGAGCTGAGTAAAGCTGAAAAAGATGAGGCTGGCCTCTTGTACTTAGCTCTCATCTACTTGTTCTGTCTTCACTCTTGGGGCTAAGGCCTGACTTAACAGATGGCTATGTAATGTGCACCTTAGTTATTGTCCTTCATGTGTTCAGTTTCTGTCATATTGAAAACATACTCTATTGATGAAAAATCCCTAACGCAATGGATTATGCAATCAAATCATAAGTAGGTAAGTCACTGCTTGAAGACCAGAATGATTAAAAAAATATTGTCTGGAAGAAAAATTACTCCAAATGTTCCAAGTTACATTGCAGGCTAAATTGTTCACCTGAAGGGAGCTTTTGTAGCATTATGTAGTTTCTCAAAAGGTGGTTTTTGTGCTCTGTTCAGTGTAAGGTTCATTGATACTATGATTGAAGGCTCTGTGGAGCATGCATATGATGTAGAGAGTTGGTGTGATGAAATGGTAGAGGCTGGAAATTTGTACTTCCAGTTGTGAACGTCTGTGTACCAGTAATGTTATGTGAGTGAGTTATGTGAGTGTTTAGAATTTATATCTCCAGAGAAATACGATAATGCTACATCTGAAACAGCCTCACTCGCTTCTAGCTGGGGTCTTTGCACTACAGGTTTAATGATATCAATTCGGGAGCAGTCAAGTTCAGGATATTAGTTGGTAGCTTATTGATCTAGGTAAAATATTCTTAAATTTACTAATGAGGAGGGAAGGTATGTTCTGTGGTGCAGAGCAGGGTTGTATCTGCTGCTGGCCGTTAGTGATGTGTTCAGTGATGCCCCTGTGAGAAGTGTGGCTGTGCTGCTGTCCCACTGCAGGTATTGCCAGTGGAGACTTGGCTGGGTGAGCAGCTGCATGGGGTGGCCCTTCATCAAGCTAAAAAGTCTTTAATTGTTTAGCTTAGTTTGGAATTAAATTTGATTTAATTTTGGCTCTAATGTAAAATACGTTTTTTTCACTGTGGAGTAACGAAAATGAGATAAGAAGTAATAGCATATATATACTTGCTGAGTAGATGCAGTGGTGGTGTTTTGGAGACCATAACCTTGAGGTCAGGGTGTTTGATTTTGTTGTCTAAACTCCAAAATCTGTTCTACTGAATGAATGGGGCAAGGACTGAAAAGCAGTTGCCGCTGGACTTATTCTTGTTTTAAAGATTCCTAAGCGGATCTTTAGTGGATCTAACATCATAGATAAGTTTTATTTAAAATAAGCACTTTTTCTCCCTCAGCATGGCATCTTAATGATAGCTGCCTTTCAAACCAACATCATTTATGATGAAATAGATTCAAACCTTTAGCTGACAGTCCAATCTGTCTAAATGAAGCCCCATGGACATAAGCAACCATGGGTGTCTGCTCTTCCCAGGTTGCAAGGCAATGTGAAACATCGGTGTGGTGATTCACTTGTGTCTTAATTTGTTTGCCTCTTCTATATATTGACATCTAAGCAGAAACCCTGAACTGGCATTGAAGTTTATGTGTATAACTTAGTGGTTATTAGGAACTGAGGCATGGCTGTTAGTGGGATGTGTCAGAAGGAGGCATATACCAAGAGAAACCCTTCCTCCAATGAAACAAAACCCATTCACACTTGGAGATTTATTTTCAGTTAGGCAAATTCTGTTAGTTAATTTATTTCAGTTGTCTTTCAGTGCAATTAAACTCCCATCTGTTGAATTCATTAGCACACTATATATTTTCAATACACAATCTTTTCATCATCTCACATAGAATATTTTATACATCAGCAATAATGCCATGAACTACACAGATGTCACAGGTTAAACTTATTTAACTTCTAAATTATCAAACAATTTTAAATACAGTAAGGTCTGTGAGTTTTCCAGTATTGTTTCCTATTAAAATGGCAGCCCTTAACTGCATGTAGGGGTTTTTCATGGATCATTCAGATATTCGGCATCTTGGATAAAATATCTGGAAAAATCCACGATACATTATCAGTGTGTTAATGTGTTCAAGGCTGATACTGAAAGGTGATGGTTTTTACCAGTAATGTAATACAGTTAATGTGTTACTAATTTATATTACTTCATGATTTCATTGCAGTTTGGAAAACAGCGAGGCACAGCTCTTGAACAGAGTCCCTGCATTGGCCTTATCCTGCAACTGATATGCTCCACAGACGTGTTAGTATTGCAGTAGCTGTGTCTTGTCACAGTTTATGCAGAAAACTTGAAGATAGTGCTGTCTAGTTCTCTCCTTATGACGAGGATGACATTTTTATATGTGCCGAATTAAACAGTCTGATGATAAAATGAAATCTGTGTGGGAAGAAGTTCCAACCTGCAAGCAGCAGTAGGGTGTCATTTATGAGCAGCCGAGCAAATGTAAACTGTCTAGATGGGAGGGAAAATAGCCCACAAGGTGCCCGTGAAATACCTGTAAGACAAAATAGTTTATTGGTAGAGCATTCAGTAGTGCTGATGCAGAAAGCTGGGGTGATGTCTGTGTAAACAAACTCAGATGTGAGGTTGATAAACAGCTGTAGAGCAGGAGACTTCAAATGACAGCTATGTCCATAACAGAAAGAGATGCCCATTCATAAAAACCTTCAGTGAGCATCTCAGTGGCATTGGAATGATTGTCCATCAAGTCTGCATTAACTTTTACTACTTATGTACTCCAAAATTAGGGTAAAATACGTAATTAGGAGGATTTACAGTGCCAGCAACATCAAGGCCGGGTCATGCTACCTTGTGCAAGGGGTGGAATGACAAATACTGATACGGGGCAGCTTTTATAGTCATATGTTCACTGACAGCGTTTAAGAAAGAAAAGGGGGACAAGATTCAGATGGTATAAAATACAGTCAACTTCTATATGACTTTCCTGAAAATATGCCTCTTTTTCTATTTTGTTGGGATTGAATTCGAATCAAGCAAATGGTGATGTGCTCCTAAGAAGCGTGTGTGCGTATGTGTGTGCGAACATATAAAATACTTCTTGTGTGTATCCGTGGTGATTTCTGGCATGAAGTCACTGAGTGTGAGGAATGTTCAGCATAAACTGGAGTGTGTTTTGCCAAACACGAGCAGCACATGGGCTGCCTGGGATGTAGCTGCAGTCTGTAGCTTGCTGGGGAGGGGCAGAGCAGGGAAGCAGTTCCTGCGTTGGCCAGCTCTCTGCAGGCTTCCCTTGATAGTGGAAACTCTTGCGTCTTGCTTTTGACAAGTGAATCCATAGCATTACTTTGCATGCATTCTTCAGTTTTGCAAAAGGAGCAAAAGGAGTATTAATGCCAAGAGATGAGTACATTTCACCAGACTTGATGTGCACAGATGACATTTTAGCCTGTAAGCATTCTAGCAGTCACTGTTTCCAGATGCAGTGGATGATTTCAGAATTTTTCAAGTATACGTACTCTAAAGCAAATGATCATCTCTGCTGCTGACCTCCTGAAATGTCATTCTCTCCTGTTTTTGAACACACACACACACACTGATTTCTGGCATGGGTCACTGTTATATGTCAAAGTCAGATGAAATCTGTGTGAGGTGGATGTCAGGCTTTTAAGCTGAGGCATTTATAGCACTGAGCATTTATAGATGCAATAGTAACTATAAATAATTTTTTAAGATCTTCTCATTTCGTGTTCAGAGTTTCTTTTAACAAAGGAGTTCTTTGTGAAAGATTGGTAAACTCAAGCAACTCCTCCTTCTGCTGAAGTCATCTTACATTTCTTAAAGCGAGGCAGCGTTTTGTGATGACCACAGTTGGTTAGCTATGGACAGAGCCAGCCCATCCTCAGATACCACAGAATCACAGGATTGTATGGGTTGAAAGAGACCTTTAGAGATCATCTAGTCTGACCCCCCTGTCAAAGCAGGTTCCCTAGGCCAGGTTGGTCTGGCAGGTAGGCGTCCAGGTGGGTCTGGAACTGTTTTAGAACATGGTCGTTGTAGATCTTCCAGAAGAGTCTGGAATATTGGTGTTCAACTTAACTTTTTGGCCTTATAACCACTGTTTTGGGTAAAACCTACTGGAAGGGTGTTCTGTGTGAATACTGCTTTAACAATGTAAACCAAAAATGAATAATTCATATAAGGGAAGACTGCCGTCATCCCTTAAGGAAACTGTATCAGGCTGTAGTTCTTTGGAGCATCCTTTGTCACTGGTGAACCTGACAGTTACACCCTGATGAATTTTTGTGAGGTCAGCATAGAGATGTGTGAGTTATAGACTGTCTTCTGGGCATCTGGAAAGCTTGGTTTGTTTTAGGGGGATAAGGAAGTAGAGGAAAGCTACTTGGCTTTGATTTTGCTTTTTCCTCGTAGATGTTATGAAGTTTGCCAGTAGTATCTTCTAAAATGACTCATAGAAAATAAATCTGTTATATTTAAAATATGTGTTTTTACAATCACAGATTATTTATACTTGACAT